GCCTTAACCCCAAAATCCACCCTCGACAATGCCTATGGACACATTCTTTAAGCCCTTTAGGACCAGGTTGTTTTGGCTGTCCTGTACCTTGAGATATATTGTGTTATTTTCCATATCTTTCCTGTCTCTTTATGTGTAACTATATACCAATATCACTAAGGCATACATTGGGAGGTCTTCTCTAATGACCCTGAACCAACCTAGAGTAGACAATGTTCTCTTTCTCTCCTCTCGCAGTCCCACATTTGCTGCTTTGGCTTTTTTACCTGATGCTTACTTATTGGCTTAATCACTATATGTGCCTCTGTTCCCTGTCCCTAGTCTCTATGGCAATGTGGCCTTCCAGAAGGCGCTGACTTTTGTTTTTCCATCTTGGTCTCCTGTGCTCTACTGCTCTTCCCAAAGGAGGGTTGGCCTGAATGTTCCCTTGCTTTCAATCAGTCACAGTGATTGCATTATTGTATCAAGTATTGTGAAAAAAACCAAAAAGCATGACAGACTATCTAAAAGTCATTTCACAGACATACCTACCCTCTGTTCCCTTTACATGTTCCCAGAAAAGGAAGTATTATTATCGCTCGAGTTTAGTGGTCTATATATGAAATATTTTTTGAATTTTTAGTCCAGTTTCCTATCAAATACAATATGTCCACCACAAAGATCATCATTGGATGATATCTATCAGCATTTTGTGTGCGATTACGATGTTGGAGGGAGACAAACGTCCCATGCTGTTCCGTGATCATCTTGGAGGAATTTTTTAGGCTGGGAATTGCACAGAACACATCTATCCTCAGTATGTGTCCACCAAAACTGACCTTACTTGACAGTGGGCACACAGGTAATGCAAGATGCTAGGATCTCTCAGTACTAGCAACAGATGACAGGAGCAGATTATGTCTTGTGTAAAATGACTGTCTGGAGATATTTTAATTTTTTTTATTTTTGATGTCACTTTTATCATATATTTTTTTAAAGGAACACTATAGTCACCTAAACAACTTTAGCTTAATGAAGCAGTTTTAGTACATAGATCATGCTTCTTAGGTTTCACTGCTCAATGCTCTGCCATTTAGGAGTTAAATCACTTTGTTTCTATTTATGCAACCCTTGCCACACCTCCCCTGGCTATGATTGACACAGCCTGCATGAAAAAAAAAAACTGGTTTCACTTTCAATCAGATGTAATTTACCTTAAACAATTGTATCTCTTGCTCTGTAAATTAAACTTTAAATCACATACAGGAGTCTAGCAAGCTATTAACATAGCAGGGGATAAGGAAATCTAAATTAAACAGAACTTGTAATAAATGAAGGATAACCTTTAGATGATTCTTTACAGGAAGTGTTTAGGAAGGCTGTGCAAGTCACATGCAGGGATGTGTGACTAGGGTTCATAAACAAAGTGAGTTAACTCCTAAATGACAGAGAATTGAGCAGTGAGGCTGCAGGGGCATGTTCTATACACCAAAACTACTTCATTAAGGTGACTATAGTGTCCCTTTAAAGCTACAAGCTAACACTTAGTAATAACAATGAATGTGCTTCCTAAAGGGAGTTTGATGTACCATAGTGGCTTGGTTATGTTACATTACAATAAGCTTGTGTGTTGGTTCCATGCTGGTAATTAGATTGGGGCCAATTCATTTGCGCACTAAAACCCTTTTTGTTGTGCTACTAAACCAGGAAATTCTCACTAAACAGAAGATTATATTGAAATGCAAAATTCAGCATAAAAAGTAAAGCTGTGACTATGGCTGAGTTGGGGACTTTTTCTAAATCAGCATTTTTTATTTTTTTTTGCCTAAATATTATAACTCGTTTTTTAATTAATTACAGATTTCTCTTTTGTAACTATGATACACAGTCGTGAAATCCACTTAAGACATTGACTCTGTTAAATCACATTTAACAGTAAATAAAAATCAATATGTCCCATAAGATACCCAATTATCCTATAATTACATTATAATTAATAAACAATATTGGAAATGTCTGAATAATTAGTCTTGAGTGGAACTAGTTACATGGAAAGGAATTATAAAAATGGGCCACAGTTCTAACAATGGAGTAGCCACCATGGAAACCAGTGGAATGTTATCTGCTAATCCTTTTGGTTTCCATGGTGACTGCTGCAAATTTTAGAACTTTGCGTTACTATTGTATTTTCAACCTTTTTATAATTCTTGCCATAGTGTATTATTCATTTCTGTTAGCAGAACAACTTCAAGGGGCTGCAAAGCTGAGTATGTGTCTGAGCTGAATGCTGTCTAGTTACTCAGAATATGTAACTAGACAGTTAAATAATTTAATATATGACCTGGGTCAAGAGCTTCCAGCACCATTTGAAAAAAAAAGGGCTAATTTCTGCTTTAATACAGATCAAATTGAGACCCTCTGCTGTGCTTCTCCATCAAGTCATGATTAGTGTCAGTGCACATCCACACAGGAATGCTCATTAATTACCAAACAATGTAGCCATTGAATTCATGGTGAGCAGATTAACTTCAGTCAGTAAGCCAATAGAAGTAAAGTGGGGACTATTTCTTAAATTCAATGTATGCTTCTGATTGGCTCGTACTGTAATATCAAGTCATCATTTTTGGTGGATGATGTATTCGTCAGGTATAGAAAAGACGAGGCTTTATGTCTTCTAGACCACTTTCTGCTACACAATCGGATGATCTGTATTATATGGAGAGAGGGAGATTTTTAACTATAAGAGTCAAAAAAGGAGTGTGGAATAGGGTCCAAAAAGATATTTGGAGGTTGAATTTATTGTTAGACAAGATCAGAAATATCACTCATTACTTATAGTAGGCTTGTACTATTATACTAGTCTCTGTAATATACCCCATTATAGTAATATAGGGGTCTTATTGACCCCATAGGATTTTTATTTAATTTAACGCAACAGGTCAGATTTATTTTATTTTTTTAACTGAGCCAAATTTGAATTTTCTGGGCCTGAATTTGCAGCAGATTTTTTTTTTTTTAAATCCGAGCCAGAGTTGAATTATCTGGGGCCGAATGTGCAGCATTTGGTTTGGATTACTGCCGTCCAACGGCATTCACTCCAGCTGAAATCAAAAACAAATTTAGGCCTGGTTCGGGACCTGATTTACAAAATCTGGACATTGATGACTTCCATCAGCAATCTCTGAATTTTACGGGCTGACATTAGTGAATAACCCTGTTAGTCTTAACTTTGCAGATTGGTTATCATTTTACAGAGCAATATTGATCTATGAAGGTTCTTCATCGAGGTCACAAAATCTTTTTTATGTGTAAAAGTATATAAGAGGATATGATGTTAATAATTAAAATGTATTATGGAATTATGGAATCATAGAAAAATAACCATATCTTTTTTCATTTTTGCTAATGGGTCCAGGTTTGGCGTTCCTTACCAAACCATCAGGGTTATTTACTAAGGTGTCAATTGTCAGGGATTCTATCAAGAAATTCTAATTGTTGGACAAAACGATCAAACTGAAAATGGAGCCGACTTGAAAAATGTCTCTGAATCAGTTTGGTTTTTTTTGGTCTAAAATTAAAAATTCACTTTGGATTTGCTTTGAATTCCTGACAGTTCGTCCTTTAGTATATAACTCCGTGGCCTTATATACAAATGGTTTCTAATAGCAGCCGTGTGATTTTATCCAGCTTTGGACAACTAACATATGAGTTCTGATTCCATGTTACTGCCATGCAGTACGTTTGTGCCTCTCAGTAAATATCTGGAGAACATTGTCTGCATGTGGCATACACTGTTATTCTTATTGGTACTGTTCCCTTTAACTCACTAAACAATTTTGCAATATTGTTAGTACCAATTGTGTTCTTCTTTCGAATTCTAAAACAGTTTTTCTTCTTTCGAATTCTAAAACTGTTTAATGATGCTCTCACAGCTTATATATGAGGATGTTAATTCCCCAAATTTCTATAGCAAGTACTGTAAATTGAAATTGGTACTCATACGTATATGACTCTTATTCAGACATGTCTTTTTAATTATGATTTTGTTATGTAAAAATGCTCCTTCTTCATGTGGTGTTTCTGTTATTTTGTGTAGCCCTGTATCTAGTATTGACAATTAAAGGGACATTCTAAGAAACAAAAAAAATGATTTGTTGCATGGAGGACCCATGTCCCTAAGTCACTGCACACAGTTCCTTTTGGCTGCAGCGACAATACTGCCACTTTAGTGACTTTGATGAAAAATCCATCCATCTTGTGTACGATGTGGGCACACTTGGCCGTCAAACAGGATATGCATCCCTGTCTCCCCTCTCCAGCTCTGGGGTTAAGACGGAGCCTCATCTAGGCACATGCGAGGCTCGTCACATTGGAATACATTGTGCAGACTCACTCACAAAACTATGAACATAAAGTTCAATAAATCGATTACAGCCGCAGTGTGACTACTGTCAGTTTATTTCAATATTCTGTTCATTATCTTATTTAAATTGTAACTGGTTATTAAACACTATATGCCATAACCCTGCTGAACCCAGCAGTAGCAGGAATTTAAAAGGTGAGCATCAGTTTCTAAATTTATTTATTATATTTTTTTTATTTTTTAGATTTTAATGCATATTCTTTATACTGCTTTCAAAACAGCGGTTACTTTTTTTTAATGATAACAATAGCAATAATTTTTTATTAGAAAACTTTATACCTGTCATAATATTTTGCAATTCACATTCACTCAACCCTTTTATTACTTGTGTTCAACATGTGAGTGGGTAGGATGTGCTAAAGATCTTAATCTTGACAGAAGTAGATTCCTGAGAAATTGGATTATGCCATTATCAACTAATTTGTTCAAATGTCAAGGATACTGATAAAGTAATGTATCTCTATAAAAACCTATATTCGTACCTATTTTTATTTTTATATTTGTTTATTTTGGGAGGGAGGTCGGGGGGGGGGACAGAAGAGACACTGTTGTCATGTTTTATCTTTTACATTAATCCTTCTAGTTCAAAAAGGTCAAAAATTTCTTGCAAGCAGTTGGAGGTTTTAAAATCTACATCCATCTACAACATGAAGTGTTTCAGGAAGATGAAAGTAAAGTATTAGAAGTTGTCAATTGTTATCTGAAAGGGCATATAGCAGGGGTGTTTTAACAAAAAATACCATGATTTTGTGAAAAAACAGACATTCCATGTATTAGCAATCCACAAAAGGTCATGTAAACTGTATCTGTAAGTTCTTGCATGTTTTATCATTAATTATTAATGACAAGCCAAAACATAATTAGAATCTTTATTGGAGACATAGATATTTCAATAATTTAAGTTATCACTAATTAAAATTTTCTTGTCCAAAGATAATGAAGTTCTACCTGTAGGACATACAGCTCTCTCCAACGGTTATCCCTCAGGAGCTCAAAGGTTGACGAGAACCTATCATCAAATAATTAATGCTTTCTTTTTTAAAGTTTACAGACATAGCCATTGGCAGTGTAGTGATATTATATATTTTTTAGACATGTAACATGTAGACTGTGGTCTGTCCTATCTTGTGGTTAGTTGAGGAGACATCAAAAATGAAGGAAATACTGGTATCAAGTAGAGTAGGCATCCACTAAGTCAAGAAAAGCCTGTAAAATAGTGGACTGTAGAGATGAAGTACTAAAAAGAGAAATTGGCGAAATGCGTCAAGTGAGGTCTAGTGTGGACTCCTTTATTTTATTGAGGACTGGTTTTAGCACTATTAATGTGTTTTTTCATTATTAATGGTTTTATTCTTATTTTGTTTTGTTAATAATAAAAGTGTGTTTTAATTATATCAATACCTAGTCCTTGGAGTACTTACTTCATCCCTAGTTCCTGTTGCTGGTCCGGTTTTATATATATCCATAGTTGGGGATTATTCCACTTAAAGCACCTATATACTAGAGCAGGACCTTGCTCTTGGTTATGTAAGTAGGATATTATACTTTTATGTCCACTGATTGCATATATACTGCACCATTGCATTTTTTTCCCTTTCTGTTCCTTCTCTATATATTGGCTCCATCTGTTTGGAATCCAGTTCCTTGACCACCTACATCACATCCTTAGACGGGGATTATACCATCCAAGCCTATTATTATAGAGCTTACATAGCTCTATCAAGTTTTCCATAGACACAATCTTTTTTGTTAATTGTAGTATTTTACTGTATTACACTATTTTTGTCCTTTCTGTTTTTCTCCTTAAGATACATATATCCTATAGAAGCTCCTGTTTTTTTATTCTTCGTATGTATATGTATTGTTTGCATATTTAAGAAGCCCATTGGCTGTATTTGGCATTGCAATAAAAATAAACACCAAAGCCAAGTTTAGTGGCTACAACATCTTTTTGTATCTAAATACGTATTAACCAAATGTTACTATATTTCAACTGCATATTGTAAAAATTCTATCACTCTCAAGTGACACTGCCCAATTTCTCTTCAAAGCAAACGAGGATTGACCTGAGGGGGAATATGATAGAAACATTTAAATACATAAAGGGAATCAACGCAGTAAAGGAGGAGACAAACATGGGATCCATAGGTGAGATTCATGGCCGAGGACTCAGTTTGACTAACCGTAGGTCAAACCCTTCCGTACGGAGATACTTTCCCGGAAGGGCCACATGTACCACGTAAGTGGTATGACATATCTACCACTTGATGCGACCGGGCTGAGCAGCCTGAACTACTACACAGACCACTGGATACTCTCTAACTCAGCTGCATGCTATATATACTAGCACATATCTACCACCTCAGGGGGCAACCTCTGGCCTAGCTAAGACACATTCACAAACATGAGGACAGGGGAAGGCAACACACAACACTAGACCACACAGTAATACTATACTACACAAAAACCATAACGATGGTCAGGGATATTTTCCCAGAGTTAACGATAGGTTCAGGTAAAGGACAATGCCCAGTCTCAGTCTCAACCTCAGTTTTAGTCTCAGTTTTCATTTCAGTTTCAAGTGCTATGATAACAAATGTATGCTTTCTGCAAAACTTTAGCTATCTTATACTGTATATATTCCAAAATGTATCTATTCAAAAATGTATCTGATTAACGCAATGTCAGTTGTCACCCTGGATGTAACCGTACACATTCCCCTTTTTTCCCTTCTGTACCCTTTCAATATGACTGTGATTATTTTTGAAAAAACAAAAATAAATATTAAAAAAAGTAAAGGAGGAGACTATATTTAAAAGAATCAAAACTACCACAACAAGAGGACATAGTCTTAAATTAGAGGGGCAAAGATTTTAAAATAAAAGGAGGGGGAACCAGAGAATTCCTTTAATCCTTCATTGATTCAAGCCTGATCCACGTTTTACAAGACAGGAATATCGCTAGTGATGCTACGTGATTTACTAAGGTAGTCTGGGCCGTTCCGAAAATACCAAATCTGAAAAAGATTTAAATTGGTATGAAATATTGAAATATACAGGAAACCTTAATTATGATTATACGGTATTTACAAAACTAGGACACAGATAAGAGTAGTTTATAGTAATTGTTATAGCAATTTTATTTAGCTGTATTTATACTGCAGTTGTTTTTTTTTTTATTACATTTTATTTGTACTAAATTATGGTCTATACATGCATAAAAATATTCAAAAAATGGTAATGATGAAAAACAAAAGTAATTTTATAGAGAAGTTGAAAAAGTTAAAAAAAATATATAATAATAAAGTGGGAAATTACAGTTGAATAAAATTACAGAATGTAAAAATCTCTCTCGTTCTGAAGAGATAGTTGACAAACTGGGACTTGCATGAAGGTGAACTATGCTGTTTACTGATGTATTTCGCTTTTTTTTAATGATAAATGCTTTCGAGAGAAGCGGTCAGACATCCACTGTAACCAGATGACGTGATAGCTTTATGTTGGTGAAAGCTGTTTTTGTTTATGAAAACAACACTGTGCTTGGAGTCACCGTCTCTTGTTGTTGATGACACTGCAAATTTTTGCTTTGGAGATAAGCGAAACAGTTCTCTTGATAATCTGCATGTTCTAGTTAAACATTATATTGACAATCAACAATAAAGTGTTGTTACTCATAAGTAGCAAAGGCCAGGAATCAACCTGTTATTTCTGATCTGGTTTGTGCAATGCCATCATAAAGGGCCAGTGTGGTACAGCAATGATACAGCAGCTATATTTCCCAGAATCCTGATTGGAACAATCAGCCCGGCCAATCACACTGACTTTCAGCTGTGACAACATGGGTGTAAAAAAAGATGAACATTAATTTGTTATTATTTGCAGCTTTTTTAACATTTTTTTTAGTTCAAATGGTCATCATTTTCCTTTCAATTATACAACTGAACTAAATATAGAAAATTACCTATAACTTGGCATTTCCATTACTGATATAGCAAATGATACCACAGTCCAGTTCAGTCTAGGCATAGCTAAGGCATGCATTAGAAATGAGGAGGAGAAATAGTGACATTGTTTCATGCTAAGATGGAGGCGACCAGTTGCAGGATAAAGTGGTTTCTATATATCATTTTACTTTTCACACCTCACACATCCAATTTATTAAATATAGGGCTAGGTAAGCTTTAAGGATCAGATAAGGAATAGCAAGTTATAGCAAATTATAAAAAACATATTTGTAAAACTATCCCTCTGTTTAACTCCTTAAGGACACAGCTTCAGAAGTAAAAGGCCAGCATGATGGAAAATTCCCGTCATGTGTCCTTAATGTTATATTACTTTGTAAAGCACACATAAGAGAATGTTGAAGCTCTTAAATGCTCCTCAACTGTTGAATGGGTTTGTGTTTTGGGGGAATGCTATATTTCTTAGAAGAGGTAAACTTATGTTAAGCCATATTTTTGGTGAGATGCCAAGTTACTTGGTCAAAACAAGACAATTTTGAAATAATAGAATGAGTAGTTTTTTTTTAAATAATACTAATTTGTTTTAGTATTTTATTTTATTTTAGTGGATGGATATCAGCTCATCACAATATATGTGTGTTTAACACTGGATGCACTTGTACCGTGGACCCTTTTGTGTTTAGACCATACGTTCCTCTTCTCTGTAATACAATGCCAGGTTGTGATAGTCAGACCTGTTATTTACCAGTTTCAGAAGGGTTACTGATTAAATTGAATTTGTGCCAATTGGAGATCTCCAAGACTTTGCTTACTTGTAGTGTCTTAGTGTTGTGTAGTCCCTGCTTGTATGTCTATAGTGCTAAGACGTAGGTAACATAGTTTTCTGAACTTTTTAAGCGCAGGTATCAAGAAAAGTGCTTTTGAACAATTTTATTTGAGACAGACAAATGTTTTGGAGTTTGTTTACTTTGAAGACATGTTCTGCCTGTTATTCAAGTATGACTAAACATATGCTAAAGGTACTTTGTCACTAGATGTTGCAATCAAGTGAAATCACTCTTTCGCAACACTTTATAATGTTTATCCTGGGTTATATAATAATATAATGAGGCAGCTGACACTGACATTCTTTAAACCGGTTTTAGCAGTGAAAATTATAACACATCTCTGAAAATATGAAAGGAAAAAGTAAAATGTCTGTATCGCTTGTGAAAGGGCCATGGCCACCCTATGCTTAGTGGTCAGTTTATTAAATCCACATGCGCGCAACTGACCACACAGTAAATCATATGACCACAATGAACTATATGAACTATATAAACCATGCAGATGTGTTTAGAAGGTTCTGATGCGTGGCCAAGTATTATAATGGAAAGATTAGACATCTTAGAAAGAGTTGACCTTATGCCATTTTCACTACAATCTCTAGAGTTAAAATAACACTCCAATTGTGTCCCTCTTTCTCACTTTATAAAGTGCTGATTTCAAGTGAAGTTGTTACTTAGTTTAAGTGAATCAGACAAGCTGAGAGGGTGCTCTTCCCAGTCGTTTTGTGATATAGCATAAAGCCAACGTGAGGGCTTCTCATCGTTATGGTGCACAGAGTGTCCCTTTAATAACTACCGTCTGCAGTGGTGTGCAGAGAGTCACCTCTGAATGGACACTGTGCTCTGCCCTGATGATGATGTGCAATGGCAGCAGAAGACCAAAACAGGTCCTGTAGTCTAGCCAACTCAGAACAAGAATCTGAATGGACATTTACTAAAACTGGATGATTGAACATATGAAAAACACTGCCTGTTACGCAACATCTTGATTTCTGTTGTAGAATGGGATCGTAGGGTCAGG